AGAGAGAGAGAGAGAGAGAGAGAGAGAGAGAGAGAGAGAGAGAGAGAGAGAGAGAGAGAGCGCTTGAGTGCAGCGCCGCATCGCGTGTGCCCGCTAGACCTGTTGCAGTGCGCGGGGCCGCGGGGCCGCGGGGTGCGGCGGGGCCGGGAGGGCGGGGCTGGTGGCCCGGGCAGGGCACGGAGTCCTTTGAGCGGGGCGATAGCTTCGAGGGTGCACCACTTCAGCTCTGCCTTTTCGAAACAAACGTAGCTGCCGCGGGTAGGACGAGAGAAAGGACAGGGTGGAGCGGGGTACACGCTCAGAGATTTGGAGCGAAAATTTTCGTCCTTCTGGCCAGGGCCTGCGGCAGCCAGGGTCTCGGATGGCAGGGTCTGGGGTCTGCACCGAGTAGGCCGAGGCCAAGGCCTGCAACAGAACGCCGGCTGGTAGCGGGGTACTCGAGAGACTTGAACGCGACAGCGAGACACAGAATTAATACTCTCAGTTCGTTTAGAGGAAGTTCGCTTCTTGTCTCCTGTAAGACGGAAATATTGGGTGACACAAGCTCGAAAAATGTGGGATGAACGTTATTCGAACCAGCGGCCGTCCACGCCCCAAACGACGAAAAGCGGAAAAAAAAATTGCGCTGGCCGGGAGTCGAACCCCAGACAGTTTCAGACAGGTCACAATTGAGCAACCTCAGCTGCCACAGAAGTGAAGGAGATAAAATATATATCTGCCCTAGCCGGGAGTCGAATCTCGGGCGAACAGTTTGACACGAGCACGATTTACCACAGTACGATTAACCAACGTACGCTTCAACCGTCTCACAAACCCCGGGAGTATCTTCTGACCACTGCGGTTGGGAGCGGCTGTTCGGAACAGAGACACATTTTGCTAACTACTGCGGTGGGATGAGGAAAGTACTCCCAATGGGTACCCGTCGTTCCTGTTTAAGCGGGTAGGCGACAACCCTGGTCAACAGTTGGTCGGATCTAACAGTCTGGCTGATGGCGTGGACACACCGGATCCCATCCGAACTCCGAAGTTAAGCACGCGGGGCCCCGTGTAAAAGCGGGGTGGGTACTCCCTCTTTTTCACATTCTTTGAAAAATAATTTGGTCCGAAAGGGCGCCTCTATAGTCTGTTCGGAATTCGCTGGATGCGGCCGGGTGAGTTGTAGCTACAATCCTGTAGCTACAAAAAGGGGGGGGGGGGCGTGCTCCTATCCTGTTTCCTGCTGCGCCGAAAGGTGAATAAGCTCGGCTCTGGAACCGGGTTAGGTACAATTGTACCTTAAACAGGACCCGTAGCTTAAACAGGACCCGCCACCTCCACCGCTCCCCCCTCGCCCTCCGCGCCTGCACGCTAGTGCGTAGGCAACCCATCGAGCTGCCGCGTATTCTAACGGACACCGGTGTACGGCCGAGAGACCTTGATTTTAGTACTTCTCTGAACTGCCCTCACCGTGTCTGTGAGGGGTACAAACACCACGTGCAAGTGTGCAACTGCAAGCTAAACACCTGCAAGTGTGCAACTTGCAAGTTGACTACTTGCAAGTGTTCAACTTGGTAGGTGTGCACTTGCAAGTGTGCGACTCCATAGTTGAGCACTCCCTACACAGTGAGCGTTCGATCTAAGGAAGTGTCCAACCGAGGATTTGCACACTTTGCAAGTGCACACCTATAGAGTTGAACACTTGCAAGTATTTAACTTGCAGTTGCACAGTTACAAGTGTTGAGCAGTTGAACACTTAGATTATCAGTGTTGTACGTTACAAACCCAATTCCTCGAATAACACTGCTCACTGCTCTTCGTAAGGAACTAAAGGGGAGAACACTGACCGCAGTTGGTGACCCCTCGGTTTAAACTGTCGCGATGGGCGGATTAGATTTCCCGTGGACGCATGCAGGACGCATACAGGCACAGGTGCCGCTCTCCTCCGCAGTCGGTGACGACTGTTTCCTCCTAGTTGTCCCCCTCACCCGCCCCCCTTTCCCCCTCGCCACTGTGGCCCGGCGGCCCAGCCATGCTCCGGCATCGCTTCTGAGTTCCGAGTCCTCCTCTTGCCTGCCCACCCCTCTGGGCCTGCCCCCCTTCCCCCGTCACTCCGCCGCTTCCCCCTCCCCTCTCCTTCTCTCTGGCAGCCCGATCGATGCTGAGATGAGTGGCAACGGCTACTCCAGCATCCAGCTCTGCTCCACTCCGCTCCGCCCCGCTTACACATTCCCCGTCTCCCCTGTCCACTCCATACCTCCCCCCCCCCCCCCCCCCCCCACACACACATACATCTTCTACCTCACCAGGTTTTTACTTCTCCAAACACTTTCCATCGTGAGCTATCGCGCTGCCCTGCCCTTGTTATACAGCAATTTAAAAAATACCGGAAAAATGCAGGCAAAATCAGTTCAACTAACTTAACGTAACGTCATGAGAACATACGAACGAAAACAAGGGAGACATAGAGCATAACATTCAATTGACCTCAAACAAGTAAATATATGAAAAAATCGGTCAAAAAACGTAGAAAAGGTTTTACATTTACAAAACCTTTTTGCGAACGAGAGGTAAAGTCTGCGTAAAAGAAATATCTCGCGAAACGCAACATAGCCACTTCGTTCACCAAAACGTTTGGAGACCTGTTAAATTGCAAAATGAATTACAATACGTATGCACTGACCTTTCAGCCGTGTTCACGGGCCTCAGGGGTGGGGCAGGGCAGGGCCGGTTGGAGTGGTAAGGGGAGTGGGGAGTGGGTATAGTACATTATTTGTACGCTCTGAAATAGTATCGTACGGTAAAGCCTCAAAACGAATAAGTCCTCGGCTCCATTATGCTTTTTTATGACGCTGGCACTTCCTGTATTGAAATTTAGTGTTTTAAAAACATCGAAAGAGCTCACGGAAAAGTGCTAAGCATTACTATGTGGCGCCGATTGCCGGTTAATTTTTTTTCCTGGGGTTCATATCCCTTAACTACCTAAAGGAGAGGCGTAAAATTTCAAAACAAAATAATTTTTAGACAGTCCCTTTTCTCTTCCATTTTTGATATGAGAACTCCTTTCGTTAGATTCTGCTCAACTTCAAAACGTCTTTCACTACACGCTTCCCTGTAGTACACTGTTGAAAAAACTTTTGGGATTTCACGAAAGAACTGTCGGGGAAATATTTCCTTTGCAAAATTCCAAACGACTCCGTAGATTTGACGAGTTGAGTTTAGCTTTTCAATTGCACGTCTGCATGAGACTTAAAGACGTAGAGCCCTATTTGGGGCGCGCTTTGCTGCTCTATCATTGCGAATTACACTGCAAACCTTTAAGTGAGGTGTTGTGCTTGAAATGAGTGAGACAATTCTACCTCGCCCAATCAGAGCGATGATTAGGGCTCACCCTCACGGTAAACACAATGTCTGATTATTTTAGGGAAATGGCAAAACTTTGAGAGACTCCTTTGGTTTGAGGAATTCTCCTGGGATTTCGAGGAAATTCCGTAGATTTGACGAGTTGAGTTTAGCTTTGGCTTTGTGGTATTTTTCCTCATTTCCTCAATTTTCTGTGGGCATGGGTGGGGCCAGCTTCATGGAGCTCTTTATTCCCCAAAATCTGAGGAGTTTTTCTCAAATATGGGAGCTCCTCAAAGTTTTCCTCTTTCCCTAAAAAGAACAGCCACTGTTTTTACCATGGTCATACGCACCGAATTCTCACTCTTCTCACAGTAAAGAAAAATAATCTCGCTCTCCTGAGAGCAAGATATCTGCCTATATAGCATTTTCAGTGTGCACCATATTAATATAAATCTAGGACATCCTGTCGGTACTCGAACTGCACACCGCAAACCCGCGTGTGTGAATGTCGTGTAATTTTTCGGAAAAGTTCAAGTTATTACCGGTATTCATGCGTGAAACTTCGAAAATAAAAATAAGGGGCTTTTTGCAAAATGTTCGTTTTTTTGGTCTGTTTTTTTCTGAACTTTCTCTGTTTTTCCTGCCTTCAAATCTCTAAGTGGCAAAAGAGTTTGAGTTTTTAAATGGAAATTCACACCTTTATTCCCTTACGTACAGAGGGGACTTTACACACCTACAAGTGTGTGACATTCTCACAATTGCGTTTTCAGTGAACGGAAGCTCTCTGCATGATGAGCTTTATCCAAAAGTACTCACCTTCACCAGCATGGCCGCGATGCTGGAGCACGGCGCGCCCACCGTTTTTAGGCAGCGATCATGAACTACGAAGTTGCAAACTGGAAAAGAAGCAAATCAACGAATTAGTTAGCCTCCCCTTGAACGATTAAAAATAAAGGTCCGTCTAAGAACGGATCGTGAGAGCAGATGTTCTTTGCATGCGTTTATTCATGTAGTTGTGTAAAAGGTTCAAAATGTATCATATCTTATAACAAGTTTCCACCGAGACCAAAGCGCGGCTGCCTCTCCCCGCCCCTCTGAATGCATCGGGGTTGGCAGCAACAGCTGCAGTCGTGCAGTGCAGCGCTTAGCGTGGCTCCCGGGGCGCCGGAGGAGCCCGGTCCGAACGATTGGGGATCGTCCAGAAAGTACGTCCGTTTTTCTCGGATTCCTTCGAGAAAATACGGGAGCTCGGCGCCTGCGAGCCTCGGGGTAGGCCACCCCGCAGTACACGCCTGCACAGCAGGCTGGATGTTGCCTACCCAACAGGCGCTATGGGACCCTGCATAGGCTGAACTTGGGAGGTTCGAAATGGCGATTGACGCTCGTACTTTCTGGATGATCCCTTGTATATGGGGACTGTGGGCCTGCTGTGGGGGTGAGGGCTGGGCAGGCGGGGGACGAGGGGGGACAAAGTGTATGGGGTTGAAATGGACGAGCACGAGCAGTGATGAGAAGGCCCATCCAAGTCCCGAATAGAATACCACACTGTAAAAAGCTTACGAACTAAATGCTTTGCAACGTTACCAACAATTTTCGTTCTTTGTATTGCAAAGAAATTGTTCGTATTGCAAAGCGATTGTTTGTAGCCACACTGCAAAAAATTATGACAGGAAAACTACAGATCGTCCTGCTAATTATTTTCCAGGAACTTCTGTTATTCGAATAACAGCATCGATGTAGTTTTAATGGTTGAAATTTGGTACAGGGAGCAATGTACAGGACCACTGTAAGGCAAAAGCGCGGACAAAACTGTCTACAGTGGAGCCGTATTCGTACACTGTACCGTGTAAATCCTGGGCTTTCCGGTGCTACAGCAACACTGTACTACGCGCTCTGTACCCTAGGTGCAGTGACTAAGAGCGGCATCTACAGTAACGCTGTAGATCGTTCTGTATCAGACTCTAATTTTTTGCAGTGCAGGTTCTTACGAACAATCGGTTTGCATTACGAACTGTTTGTTCGTAAGCTTACAAACAATTAGTTCGTAATACAACGCTTCAAAATTCTTCGTAAGCTACGAAGGTTTTGGTTTGCATTACGAGCCCATAGTTCGTAAGCAATTTACATTGCATATTCGTGAGTCGTGCGATGAAGGCGCGGCTGCATCTATGACGGTATAGTCGCTACCCTAGTACACTAACGGGGAGGGCCAATATTTGTTCCTAGCAGGTTAGATGTGTTCTTGTGCACAACCTCACCAGGTACAAATTTGTCTGGAAGAATATAGGCTACAAGTTGCACCCAGACTAGGTAATGCTATATTTTGAATGTGTTGATGTATATTAACACATTCAGTGCAGATGTGCATTGGGAAGGGAGAGGGGGGGGGGGGCAGGAAGGCGTGACCACATTGTGATCAGCACTGAACGTGTTTAAGGAGAGGAGTTTTAAACAAATTATTGAGTTGTTAATTGTTTCAGGGACCGTGTAGGGGAGACTGGGATCCCATGAGCCACTTTTTGTTTTCTGTACCTGTAGGCTTCAACGGACTAAGTATCCGTACTCTCTTTGGTGGGACTGAAATCACCTGAAACTGTGGTTCATCACCTATCAAATGACACTCACACCGTATTTTCATCACGACTCAGTTTAGCACAGCAAGCCGGTAAAAACGACGTCTCATTTTTTGAGGGAAAAGGAAAAACTTTGATGAACTCCCTTACCTATTGTAGCACATATCGTTCTTAGAACGTTTACGGAACCTTCAGACGTTCTCAGAACGTTGTCTGAATGTTTGGTGCTACAAGGGGGTTTGAGGAAAACTTCTCAGATTTCGATGAAGTCTCCTCAAAAAACTGTGAGATTTTTCCTCAAATATGAGAGTCCCGCAAAGTTTTCCCCTTTTCCTAAAAAGTGACACGTCGTTTTTACCGTGAGAGGATAATTTATAAGTACCTTGCAATGTCTCATGGGTTCCCCCCAGGGTCCCGGGGTCTCACGAGAGCGACCAAGCCGTTTCATCTAAAAATTCCCTTTTTCCTCAAAATAGGGGCATCTTTGATCACAGCTCACTACTGCCCAGGAGACACCCGACCCGACCTAACACCTCTGGCAACCAACAACATGCTTTTAGGGGTTGCCGGCCGTGCCAACTATAGTCTTCGACTTACAGCAAATGTCTCATGGGACCCCGTGTCCCATGGGACCCCCGGTCTCCCCTACACACGATTTCAGGAGTGGTGGCCCCCTCGCCAGCGTGCCAACCCTTTCAACCCTCCAGGACCCGGGATAGCAGGACGGGGGACGACGCGGACGCAGGCGGCCCAGGTCACGTGGTGATTGGTGAATGGCCCGTCATCCGGCCGTCCTGCCTGCACTGGGACTCTAGGAGGGTTCACGCCCCCTCCACTTCCCCTCTTTCCCTCTTCCTCACTCTCACATACTCACTCACTCACTCACTCACTCACTCACTCACTCACTCACTCACTCACTCACTCACTCACTCACTCACTCACTCACTCACTCACTCTTCCTTCCCCGCCGTCCCTCTTCCCACCTCGTCCCCTCTCTCTCCCTCGCGCACTGTCCCAGTCCCTGTCTGCGCGCGAATCGATCGGTCCGCTATCGTACCTCGCTGGGCGGCACTGGGCGCGGGGAAGTAAGGCGGGGGATGGTGGGGCGTACCGGGCGTGGCGGGGGATT